GTGTGTGTGTGTGTATGTGTGTGTGTGTGTGTGTGTGTGTGTGTGTGTGTGAGAGAAAAATTTAATTTGGGTGACAGCCACCAAATTAAATGCAATAAACATAGTAAATCATATAACTGCTGAATCCAAATAATGATAATCAGCAGTCATGTGACTAAATATTTACAAACATTTCAGCATAGACTGCTGGGTATTTCGTCATTAAAGTGTGGAATCGAAGGAGGAACGCAAGGACTGAAGACAGCATTCCTGAGAAAGAGACGATATTCTAGGAAAGTATGTTTGATTATTGCCTCTTGGTTTACTGAACTGTTTTCTGCAAGACTGTGCAATTTTTTAAGACATGTGAGTTGTCTTCAGCTGTCTATGAAACAGAAACTACTGTATGATAATAAAAACTTCAATGATATATTGAAACCTTGTTTTTTGAGAGGGCTGGACTGTTGTCAAAGTGACAAACTGGTTTAGTTTGTTACTATTATACTATTGATGACTATTATAGTCATCGCTAAAGTAATAAAAACAAGGTGACATTGATGTATGTGAAAGTGACTATTTGGAAATGATGCCTTATTTTGTCAAAATGTGTTTATTAGTGATTTGCATTCACACACAAAAATACTGAAGTGCTTCATACTGCAGAGAGAGAAAAGCTCCAGCAGTGATGAAAAATAATCAGAAAACACTGAAGCATAAATAAACAGTGAGCTTTTACATATGAATACAGTCACTGACACACCTCGCGCAGGGGAATTCATCTGAATTTATGATAGGCTTAAATATTTTAATAGACTCTGATAACAACAGGAAATAAACAGACTAAAATACTAATATACTAACTTGGCAAATTAGTTATTTATCATGTGAAGTGTAAATACATTCATTATTTATCACACCAAGACACACACCCAAGCCTAAGAACCACAGCATCTAGAAGAACAAACAGTTTGCTGTTAGATATAGAGCATGAATGTACATTCCAAATGTGAAAATCAAACTCATTGACACTGTTAAAGTCAGCATGAAATGAAAACTCACCGTCTATTTTGTAAATGCAAGACAGATTGAACATGGAGTTTGAGATTAATTATAGTTTAAACTTCAGCATAATTAAAATAATTAATTAATTAAAACAAAACAAAAAACGTCAGTTTTCCAGTAAAGAACTACATTACCCATAATCCTACAGAGGATTAATCAGATAAGTCATTGTTACCACAGAAAAAAATGGCACCAAATTAGCTCAGCAACAACCTACCACTTCCATAAAGTATTGCACATTATGCAAATATTTGCAATGTGTATCTGAATTCTAAGTTTGCAATAAAAATTTAAAATATATTGCATTTTATTCAATAGTAAAATAGTCACTGTAAGTCAATACTTACTATAGTCAATACACTAAGTCAATACTTATGTTGTACCAAATTCACTGTACATTAAAAAAAGTAAAAAAATATCATTTAAAAAGTACAGCAGACTTTGCAAAAGCAAAAGGCCATTTTGCAAATGCTCCAACAAGATGGCAACTGTTGACCGTGGTGACCATGTTTATTATATTTGCACACTGATTTTTTGCTCCATACTGTACATTGTAATACATGACAGAGAATCAGTGGGAAATGTCACAGGCACTCGATTATTTGATTATTCCTCTTCCATTTCTAAATGTTACAGACCCACCGTTATGAAGATGTTTGAGTGGAGGAACTTTCATAGAACTTGCTAGAATACATGTGTACACTCGCACACAAGGTCAAACAGTGATGTTTTCTAAACTATTATGTACAATTGACAATGTTTGCCAGCATGGACTGACAATATCCATACACAGTCTGAGGTTGTGTACTCTAAAACAAACACGAGCTATTGGTTAAAAAACATTTGACAGGAAACAATTCATGCAAAGTAAATAAATGGCTAAAACAACATCTGGTTTTGAGAACATTAAACTATTTCGTCTTGCTTTGTGTATTTAAAAGTTCTGATGTTACTTTGGTTCTGTAAATAAAATACATTCCTGTAGCTCAAACAAAAGCGCATGGCTTTAGCAATGCAAAGGTTATGAGTTCAATTCCCAGGGAATGCAATGCAAGTGTAAATGAAAGTAAATGCATAAATGTAAATGGTGCCTTAGTGCCTTCAAGAAATAGTCCACATAATCCTCTATCTATAATGTGAAAAAGTCATCTCGTCTGAATCAGGGGCAAAATATGCACAGATCAACCACAGTTTACAAGCAAAAACAGTCCAAAATCTAAACAAATATGTTGGTGGATTTTGATGTGAGAGAACAACAGGGGATGGACTTCTTCACTGGAGAAAGCATTATTATGGATTATGGACTGGTATTTTGGCCAAAAATGCCTTAATAGATTTGTTTCTTTCAAACAGGCAGCTTTTCATTTCACAAGACATTAATTGCTGACAGATTAATTGAGTCGTGTGGATTATTGTGATGTTTATCAGCCGTTTGGACTCTCATTCTGACAGCACGCATTCACTGCAGAGAATCCATTGGTGAGCAAATGATATAATATTACATTTTTCCAAATCTGTTCCAATGAAGAACAAACTCTACATCTTGGATGGCCTGACAGTGAGTACATTTTCAGAAAATTGTAATTTTTGGGTGAACTATTCCTTTAATTAAATATTTTAAATGCATTTGTGATGACATGATTGAATCACACAAACAACATTCAAAGGTAATCAGAAATGCATGTGACCCCATTGCATTTGTTTTGTAAACACAAATAACCATCCAGTTGAAAAATTTGCCCATGCACACAGCTTAAACTTCTTGAGTATGTCTGATATCAGCGGTGCTTGACAAAAATAACAGCGAGCGTGTTTGTGCTAAGAATACAATTCAGGTATATTTAGAAACTAAAGTGTGCAGACTTTTGTGTGCTTCATCAACATGAAGTAACGCGGATGTAGGAAGTGTCTGTAGTGACAAAATCATAGACTTTCTTCTCGACAAAATGCACAGCAGCTGTGACAAAAGTAAGCTCAGCTTCATTAATTACACATCACTAACAAAACTTTTTACAGCTCTGTTTATCTTTTAATGATATAAGATGCTCTCAGTCATTTATTCAAATCTCAACAGGATCGATAGTTTTACTGAATGTTGTCATAGTTAACTGCCCAAGGAAACTGTGTTGTTCTGAACAGAGGAAAAAGGAGATAGCGACCCAACAGAGCCAAGATTGTTATTTGTTCCTGTAGGTTTTTAGAAATCATCACCTCTGTCAAGTCAAGACACGCAGCCTGAATGGACAGCTAATATTCTCTCAAGACCACAAATCAGTCTGGCCAGCAGCAGTTTTAGGACTGCGGGTTATATTGGTGTCATCATGCTGCAGTTTTATAGTAAATGTTGCTGCAAAGAGAATTGTGTGACTGTACCATGCTCAAGCAACGTCTGTAGCATGTATTTGTATTTTTGTATTTATCTTTACACAGGCATCCTAATCATGCTATAAATCTCATGCTTGGCCAACAGTCATGGGAAGAGTACTGTTTAAAGGAATAGTTCACTTAAAACTGAAAAACTGCTGAAAATTTACTCACCCACAGACTTAAACTCATACATCTCATTTTGCTTTCCATTTAGTATGTTTTGATTGATTTTTCTTAATTACAGATACGCCTACAAATTTACAAATGTGTTAGACTGATGTTGATCCAAGTTAATCCGACTGATATCTGACAAAGAATAAACAGAATTATCTCCAATACATCTATCACAACAGGTATTGCTAAGACTGAAATCAGTTTTGTGCCTGACTGACTTCATCGGGTCTGAGCTAAATGCTTTAGATTTTCATCTGACACCTGTAGTTTTTTCTGCCTGGAGGGAGAGAAAGAGAATAAGAGAGAGCAAATAACAAAAAGAGCGGTATGAGCCACACAACGGAGAGACAGACAGTCCTGGCAGATTTATTATGTAGTGAAAAACAGCCGTTATGCAGGCGGTGACTTTACTGTTTAAAACACCCACTCTCTGCTGTGTATTAAAATCAGCTCCTGTTTGGATCCGTAATGACATTCAGCCCCGTGGCAGATCAGAATTCATCAGATACACACAACAACTTAACAGCATCCACCTACACAACCGCCAACATATGTTCATGAAGACAAACATTACTTGTGCTGCATTTCAAATTTACTCCATATTTACCTGAATCTAAATCCCTCCTTAAAGCTAGATCAAATGTCTATTTAACAAAACCCAGTACAGCTTCCATCCTCTGATTTATGCATGTATTTCAGGCGCCGGAGGAAATGGTAATCACTACAGCTGGACGCAGATCTCATTTCTAATACGTATAGGGGCTACGTATGGGCCTGCGCAATATACTGAATATTCACATTGATTTTCCTTGTAACAGAACTAACAAGTAACATTAAGCACCCAATAAACTATATAGACTACAACAATAACATAATGTGTTTTACAAATGCTTACATTATATTGTTTGCATATAATTAATATTAATAATGTATAATATTATTAAATTAACATTATTATATTATTAAATAAAAAATGTTACCTACCCATTAAACAATATGCAAAGGACTATAACAATAAAACATAATAAGGCTGTGACTTCACTGTTTAAAACACCCACTCTCTGCGGTGTATTAAAGAGAGAGAGCAAAATCAGCTCCTGTT